CAACACCTATGTGCACAGGCACATCCCACTCCCATAAACGTTCAAGTTTCAAACATCTGAGGTGTCTAACTTCGTGATGAAAGTAGCCTGTGTGGTCTCGAAACTGTCAAGAAAAAAGGTTGTCTTTGAAAGCCCAAAGGAGGCCGTTGATGGGGGCTCGAGTCTGACATCGAAAATTTGAATTGGAAATCGGCATCGGTGAAAGTGTGGATGTGAATCTCGGATTTACCCACGTCCAGCAACCTACAGTCATGTGCTTACCATAGAGTTAAACATCTCAGATGTGTTCCAACTTTTTAAATTCAGGCGTCAAATTACCCCATTGCTCGGGAGAAAGCATTATCTGAAGTCCAGGATTTTCGTCAAAAGTCCATTTTTGAGACAATGCTAATGATCGAAAGGAAGAATAAAAATTACTGAAACTTTCAGTGAATATATATATCTATAAACTCTAGAGTCATTAAAAATTTCAGACGTCCATTTTATTCTAATCATCAGTTATGAAGCACTAAAGCTGCCTAAAATGTTGATTTTTGTCCGGGTTGAATGAGTCATAAAAAGTTAAGCGGCCAATGTTTTCAGTTGAATATTTTATTCTGAGCACAACTTGTAGAAATATATGTACACAAAAACTTCAGCTCAATCAGTCGAGGTATTCTTAAGATATGCTCCCGTCAAGACACTCGTTAATCTAAATATGGGTTTTGAGGACTTTTAATAAAACATCCATAAAAAAAAGCGAGGGTTCAATATTTTTCAAAACGACTTGCGCCAAAACTCATAAAACTCTTCCCGTCACAATACTATCTTAAATTGAATATGATCCGACGATCACGATTGAGCAGGTCCACTCGTGACTTACGTGAAATATCTAATATGTAAAATTCAATTATAAACTTAACTTAGATAAATATGCAAAAGCCTAATATCTTGAGTACGTACCTAATTCGAGTAGGCCTACTCACTAGCAAACGATATGGATGTTCGTAGATTCGAATAAGTAGTGTGAACTAGATAATCAATCATTCTAATGTTCCACCAATTTGGATGTTTGTGAATGTTGGCGTCTCTTACAAATGCCCATTGTGAGGACGAGTGTCTCATGTTCCAACACCCACATGCAGTTTCAGATCATCTTTTCGTTATTGGTCAGTCTAAATCAGTTGGTTGAACAGTTTAGTGCGGAAAAAAAACGAGTTGCTAAGAAATTTCATAATGCTCTGCATTAGTAATCACGATGCATTCTAAACACTAGGTTAGTCATGACAGGTGTACATAAGACCTTCCAGGCTAGTCAAGTTGCTTGTCTTCAACCAGTTTTCTATCGTCTAGCAAATGAATAAGCGTCTGTTTGCTATTTGGATCATTTAAATTAATGTCAGTCTACTGGTAAGTCACAGCCTCGCGTTAGGACATGCATCAGGTATTTAATACTGTCGAATTCGATGTTTGAAACTTGAGGGTCTATGGGTGTGGGATGTGCATGTGCACATAGGTGTTGACATTCATTTTTACGTCACCCACATCCCACATTCACATCCTTACCGAAAAATAATTAATCAAAATATGCTTGATTGTCTAAGTAAATTTAAAGCACTACGTACAATATTATAGGTGAAGCTACCATTGCTCTTCAGATTGTTCTTTTTCTTCTGCCATCTGTGGAACTGAAACATTTTTAATGTACGTTATAGAATTCTAACGAAATGCTGCAGTAAATATGCTATTGAGAACCGACTTGAGAAATGTATAAAAATACGATAAAAAAATCATAAGAAGTGTCCAGAGGATAGCTATGTCTGGTTTCCCACGCCATTCTCCTTTTTTGAACACCTTTTTTTTGAATGATCCGCAAACAAAGAAAGGAAGAAATATTCGTTTTTTCTTTACAAAACTTTACAAAATATCTTGTATCGAAAGTCCTTCGACATAATAGAACAGGATTTTTAAAAACTCTGATAGGTAGAATTCGTTGGATTTAAGATAACGTTGAATACAAACACAAGAAATAATCGAGTTCTTTAATTTGTTCGCATTTTATTGAAAAAGAAAGATTTAAAATATATCTAAAGAAGTATTTTGTATACTTTTGTCTGGGTGCAATTATAATGGATAATCATAGAACATTGTTTATCGGATTTATTCAAAGTTCTTCTCTGAAAGATACAATAGAGAGTTCAAATATGAAAAATTCGATACCAACGAGGTCTTATAGTGATTCTGTTCTTTTTCGTCACTCTAAGTGGTGAGTAAGATCATCAGAATATAAGATGATTCTGTCTTATAGAAATTTTTCATGTAGTTGTACAAATTCTCTCGTTAGTTGAAATATTTTCATCTTAAGATTTTCCTAATAAATATTTATCAGTTCAAATTATTTATTAATCAAGAAAAAAATCTTTTAGAAGATTTGAAACCTTTTCTTAATTATTACATAAATTGATAAACTTTCAAGATTTTTAGTCGGTCAAAAAGTTTTGATCATTGCATTAAGCTGTTTTGAAAAAACTGAAGAATTTCCATGTGATTCAGACTGGACACAAACTGTCGGTATAATCTGCGCTATACTGACGGTAATCGCCGATAGTGATGATAAAACGCAGATATATCAGCAATCAGCCGGTGCTAATTAGACACTTAAACCGTCGGCTATAGGGATGGGTAAAACAAAGTATGTTTGGTCGCGATCCTGGTGTGATCCCAGTAAATTTTTGATCCACCGGTCCCTATCTAGAGAAAATTGTTCCAGAATTTATCCGTATCACATCTGAAATAAGTCTTCAGCACTCGTTTTTCTGATTTATTTAATCAACTACCAGCACTTTTCTGCGTCATCACGTGAATTATGTTCTAATTCATGTGACTTATAAGATAATTTGCTTAGAATCATAGACTATTTTACCATACACTTAAGTTCGGGTTCCAATGCTAATAACTTACGTTTTCCTTGATCTCGAACCTCTCTATTCACGCCTGATCCTTCTCATGTCCTATAGAGGAAGATTGTCTTTTTAAATCTATTTTAGAACGCATTTCTTAATTATCATTTTACTTGATTCTTCAGAAATGCTACAAGAAAGTAGTTCATATATTATAACGAGACATTATTGATATACAGTCTTTGAACGTAAATCAACAATGTCTGTCACAGTGTGCCGTATAGTGGTTCAAATTTTTAGGTCACGATTTAAGTGAACAGTAAAAAACCTATATAAGTGATCAATACTCGAATTATCAGTATTTTTAATTACACAACAGTTATTTTCTTTTATAAAAATATTAGTAAAAATACGAATTCGACTTAGCGGAAAATGTCGATTTTATTAGCATAAAATTTGCTTTTCAGTATTAAAGCTAATTTAGCATAAGACATATAATCTACATAAATAAAAAAATATAGAAAAGAAATGAAAATAAGAACATTAAGTATAAATTTTAAAGTATATAAAAAAAAAGAGAAAAAACAAGATAAAAATTAAGCTTTTGTACTAGCCTAAGCAGTTTTAGTCTTTGCTGGTCTACGTCTACCTCTTGTTTTCTCTCAACTAGAGGCATTGTATTTCCTGCTGGTAGTGGTTTATACAATGTTTCAGACTAATAGTTACTCCAATAATGTTTTTGCACGTGTAGTTCTTAAAAAAAAAAAAACCGAATAGTTTTGTTTTGACATTTTGACCATTCGTTGGCAATAGATGCTTTTTCTTCATTGCGTTATCAAATATCACCTCTTTGACCTAGTATTCTGATTTCATCTTTTTTTCTGGAATACTTTTCATTTCTATTTATATCATCCTTTTTTTTCTGTAATTTCTTCATCTGATACCTCATTTTCATAATTGAGCAAATGGTGCCACGTCCATCAATTGCACCTGTTGACACTAAGCTGAAGTTAAAGAAAATAATATAAGCAATGTGCACATATAAATATATGTCGTATGTATATAATATTATTCATGACACGAAAAACAAAAGACAAAACAAAAAAACAAGGCGAAAGAAAAAAAGCCAAGCATACTATAACGCATTACAGTTTTTATACTTACCAATTGCTTTATTTAGCAGTTAGTATTTTTGCATTTACTGACTTTTAAAGTTATTAACAAGCTTAATTCATCACTAATTCATCATTTAAGTTATTTACTGATTTTATTATTTAACCTATTGACCAAATATATATCTCTATACTTGAACACTTCTTTCAAATCGTGTTTTACAAAAATTAATAATGGATACTTGTATGTCTATGCAAAATGGTTTTCAATTTGCAACTCATGAAGATCATTGTATTCTGTTTTTATTTCGTGGTTGGAATGTTAATAATCATATTAAATATGCATTTATGATTATTGGAGTCTTTGGTATGGGTTTATTAAATGGAGCTTTAAATTATATACGTCATCGTTTAAATGAAAATTATCGAGAAGACTCATCCTTATTATTAAATCAAATATATTTATCATTAATTTATGGAATTCAAGTAGTTCTTGCTTATTGGATAATGTTATTAGTCATGACATATGAAAGTGGTATTTTTATCTCAGTTATATTTGGTCTTGTTATTGGTTACTTTATTTTTGGTTATATTCAAGCAAAAAATCGTCTATCAAAAAACAATGTTTCATTGACTAATGCAATATATGACAATCAAGATAATCATATACCTTGCTGTTAAATATGCTCTTATTAATCTATTGATTTTTGAACTTACGATGCACATTATAGATTGAACAATTTACATTATATATTATTGTAATGTTGACTTCTTTTTATTGTGAATTTTCTACTTAACTTTCTAACATTTAAAGTAAATGAAAGGACACGAGGAAAATTTAACTTCGAGAAAGTAAACAACGCTAGTTTTCGCCTAAAATAAATAGTTAAGATTTTGTGTTTGTATGGTACAAAAAAAATATTCAAACAAGATAAATAGAATTCTATGAAAGATTTTATTTTTAAATGTTTTGTGTCCGGTTATTGTTGCGTTTTCTAAATAAATATTTATTTGATGCTTGATTTTTTTTTATTATGCTAGTGCATGTAACACTCGTAAGTGCTTATATGATAATAGAAAAAGAAGCTGAGATGTTTAAGCTGGAAGCAACATAATTAATGCAAAGCGTTTCACAATTTGCCACCACTATAATTATGACGAATATTAAATCACGCTTGTAGGGATATTACAGAGGTAAATAAAAGGGATAAAACAAGAAGGAAAAAAACAGAATAATTAGAAGGGAAAAAAAAGAAAAAGAGTAAAAAAGCGAAAGAAAAGCGAGATAGAGGGAAAAAAGTGCATTAAAGCATTACATGTGCTCTCCTCTTTTTTTGTTTTTTAATTAATTCGTTTCAACAAACAACAACCATTTTACAAGAAATGATTCGTGTTCAGGGTTGCCAAATCAAAATTTCGAAAACCAGGAGTTCACCAGGAGACTTTTACAGAAAATCAGAAGAAAAACCAGGAGATTTTTTGTTGAAATCATGAAGCTTCTCAGCGTTCTTTTTTATAGTAAACTGAAATGTTCGTTCATACAGGCGTTTATTTACTCTTTGTTATCAAATAAGTGATTGCAAAATCTTTCTGTAATCATACAAGTGTTCGTATTATAAGTTAATAACATCAAACGTATTTGGATTAAATGAAAGATCTCATTACCAAACTAATAAATACAAAATATGAGCTGCTGTTGGTATGCTTGAACAAAGATGCTTGAATTTTAATGATATACTGTGAACGTATGATGGCTAGAATTCAAAATTTCAGTACAATTTATTGTTTTTTTCTAATGGTTGGATAAAGTTAGTCGAGTTTTGTAAAAAAATAGCTTTTTTCTAATTTCAAACACATTTCTTTCTAGTGAAATTCGACAAGCTCTATCCAACGATTAGGAAAAACAATAATAAATTGTACTAAAATTTTAAATTATGTTCATGTTTCCTACGTTATAAATAACTTAAAATTCAAATATCTTCTTCCGAGTACGTCAACAGCAGCTCATATTTCGAATTTATTAGTTTGGCGATATCATCTTTAATCTGATCCGAACATGTCTTATTTTATTAACTTACAACAAAAGCACCCCCGTTTTAAGTGCTTTACAAGAAAAGAAAAAGAAGATTACTACACGCACTTGATATTACTATTTATTTCACAGTCAATTTTTAAACTATAAAAACACAATCGAAAAACGGTTTACCTCAAGATAAACGCGATCATGACAAAAGATTAATCTTTAATGAATTCGATACTCTATTGATTGCACTTGCTTGTGACGATAATATTCAAAAAAAGATACCCGATAATACTTTTTAGCTAAAAGTACATACGTTAGTGCACTGCCTGAGTCACGAATCACGATCATGTGTGATCGTGATCGAAACTAAGATTTTATGATTCACGATTGAGTATATACGTTTAGAATCTCAAATATTTATTCAGAAATTTAATATTTAGATGTAATCAGAAAAATATGACAGTTCATATGATACTTTTAGTAAAAGGCAAAGAAAGTGCCTAACAGACATGAACACAAACTAGCTTTAAAACAATGCTTTTATTATTCCCTATAAAAGAGCAGGAGGAAAGAAATCCAGAATCAACTGCTGACCGCAGTATCAGTTAGGATTTAGATTTGTCCTATTTAGACATACATTAAAATGAGCGTGGTTAGAACAAAGAAAAGAAAGAATATCAATAAAATAATCATAAGAAAAGTTCTGTTCGTATTTTTAGTTCTTGTACTTTTGCTGGATTAGACAAACACATAACTTATTAGCTCTATATCATTGATTTTTATAAGGATATTTATCTAATGTTTACTGCTAATCTTAATAGCACATCAAATTTTTCTGCATCTCTCTCTCATAACTCGAATTTACCTCTTTTTAAGTCGTGTACTCTGAGTAAGTAAAACATTATTTTGATAACACTCATGTTTTGTTTATCAGTTGAACTATGAGTTACTTTTATTTTGAAATGACACCAAATAGGGAAGTTTGCTATGGTACATAATGAATACCCCTGTTACTTCAGAACTTGATAAAAAAGGACGTTCGATCCAGTGTGACAGTTCCGCTTAGGACATTTTTTTATACGCGTTTTTGTCATTAGAACAAGGCAAGATGAAAAAGTATTATCATGTGTCCATCCTTGACAGTTAATGGAAGATATCAAAGAGATGACCAGATCGAATTGTGAACAGTTTTTCGTATGTTTTTAAACGCTGTGCCACATTGCTGATCGTGATTGAGAATCCTGTTTTATTCGTGAGTATAATAAAAAATGTCAATGATGAATTACATTAACATAAGTTCTTACTAAAGAATTTGTTTATGAAATTCTTTATCTTATTTTTAGAAAAAACATGTGGAAACAACATTTTACTTGATAGATAGCTCAATCCATCTAATAAGGTGATCATCACTCTCTTTTTCTTTCTTTGCATTTAGTATTTTTTTTTTGATTTACAGTGTCTCTAAAATTTAATGAACACGGTCTTGAAAACCAGGAGAAACCAGGAGAAAATGTTAAAAACCAGCTACTGGTACCAGGAGATTTTTTCACCAGGAGAAAGGTCCAAAAACTAGGAGACTCCTGGCTAAATCAGGAGATTTGGCAACCCTGTTCGTGTCGATCTATTAATTGTCGTACACGACGCGTACGAAAAAAATGGTTGATGTGATCGTTTTTTCTTCTGTAAAATTTATTCCAAACGAAAATATCATTATAGAAAAGCGAGGATTCAAGATCAGTCAAATGCATTCTGCTCAATCGTCTTTGAATGTACTTCCTAACATAGAACTCTAAAGGGTATTCTGAAGTAATAGTATAAAGATTGTGTGCAGACATGAACGGACAGCGATACACCAACCGAAGACCTACACGAAATTTTTGTTGCAGTATTTGTTTTTAAGTTTCTGAAAGTGGCGGAAAAAACGGAAATAACCATGCAAAATGTGGAAAGGCATATGCAAAGAAGCATTGACGAAATGCTTTAGACGACATACTCCGTCCAGCTTTCAACCACCTTAGTTTACCTAGGGATCTCTGGATATTTCCAATGCACTTTTCGCCTGTGAGTTTCAAAGATAGTTTATCAGTCCATGTAAATCCTTAGTACTTAAATTCTTTTACTAATTTAATTTTTTCCCCATTCGTTGTTATATTTACTAATGATCTTTTCACTTGTGTAAGAAACAACTGCGCCATTGTTTTCGATACATTTATTGGTTGTTTCCATTTTTTTGAATATTCATACACTTAATTACAAATTCACGTACCTTCATTCTCTAAGTATTGGATTATCGGAGTTAAATTCTTCATAATAGGTGGTCTAATGAGTAAACCAAGATCATCTGCGAAAAGATGATCTGAATGAGCTCCTAGACAATTGATTAAATCACAGTGGAATACAATAAACAAGTATGGACTAAGACTACTATCTTGAGAAAGTCTTATGTTTATATCGAATATTTTCGATGTTTTTTCCCCAAAAACTACATAAGCTTTTCTATTTTTTAACCAGCTTTCGATTATTTTCAGTAGATCGAGCGGCATACCAAATCTCCACAATTTAATTAAGAGAGCGACATGCCAGGCTCGATCATATGCTTTCTGATAGTCAACATAGATAGCAAGTGTTGGTAAATTAGCTGTCATATTGTTCTTCACTTCCTGATAAATCGATAGTAGTCGTGCAGGAAGAAGACATTTTGGCCGAAATCTTGATTGCTCTACAGGCACTAAATGATTACTTTCAGCCCAATGTCTAATTCTGTGAAGCAGAACTTTTTCAAAAAGTTTTGAATATGTGGCTAACAAAGAGATTGGACGGATTTGATCACATTTAAGAATACTTGATTTCAGTTTATTTAAAGTTACTATCTTTGCTAGTTTCTATTCATCAGGATATCTAAGATTCACTCAGCCAGATATTAAAACATTTTGCCAAGCAATCAATATAGTACAGAGGAAGTTTTTTATCATGAAATTCGATACTAAATTATAACCTGCCGACTTTTTCGATTTCAATGTCTTTATTAGTCGACTAATTTCAATGGCACTAGCTTCTTTCACCCGTTCGTCTATGATTAATAACTTATTAAATAATTCGTTATACTCAGATTCTATCTTAACATCATATGCCGTGGAGTAATCTATTCAAAGTGTTCTAAATTGTTCACTATAATGCTGACTTAATTTATCTGTAATTTCTTGATGTGTTGAAAGCACTTAATTTGTTGCTGCTAGTTTATAGAAAGATAGAGAGCGTGATTTGTAGATGCGAGACATATATGTTTAAAACGCTGTATCGAATTTATCGTGTGTCGCTTGGACATCCGACGATAAGCTGTGCCATCGATCAGCTTTATATTTTCCAGTTGTAGCTTTTGATTCTCTTGTCAAGACACACAGCAATACTCTTGTTTCTTCACACAGAATTCCTTTTTGTCTAAGGTAATAGTATGTATTTCTCACTTTCCTTATTTCGTTTAATTTCTCGACAATACTACTTGGTAATACCGGTCTGTATTTTTCTTTTTCTTTCCAATGCGTCACTCTGTTTTTGACAGCAGCAATAAAGCGAATGTATTCTTTATACCACTCATCAGTACTATTTTTCTTTTGTTCTTCTGCCCAGAATGTTTGAAGTAACACTAATACAGCTTCGAACATCTTCTAATTCGTATGAGGAAAAATATTGCTAGTATCGAAAGACATATTCTCACACGAGAGTACAGTCGGTCAGTGATTACTTGTGCCGAACTGCAACGTTTCATTTGAAAAATATCAATGCTGTTTGAGAATGATAAATCTATATTACGTTGAGACCGTTTCGATGTGTGAGAAGTCGATGGTATGTAATTGAGGTTGTTCTCTTCAATCCATTCTTTCACACGCGCACCTCTCTTATCTGTTAATGAACTATTCCATTCCTTCACTGTAGCATTAAAATCACCCGTTAGAATGATGCCTTCTACTACATAGAAAAGAATATCATCAAGATCACGCTGTTGACTAGTGGACCAAAAAATACCCATAATACGTACTGGTTCTGAGAGGCCTGCTATATCGATGATAGCTGTATTTGGAATGTTAACATCGATGGGCGTTACTTTCAAATGCTTTCTTGCTGCTGCGCATACTCCTCCATTTCAATTGGTACCTTTTTGATAAAACGTGTTAAAATGTGGCAATTGGCATGTGTTTCATAGGTCTCCTACTTCTGTAAAAACACAAATAGATGCTTGTACTTTGTACACTAAATCAATTACTTCAAGTGCTCGTGTATACCACCGTTGGACATTATCACGCAAAATTTTTAAATTTTTCGTTTGATTACTGGATGAAGCTAGACCAAAACTTTCCCACTGTTGTAAAACTGAATTCAATGTTCTACTTGTATACCACTCGTCTAAAAGCGAAAATACTATCTGTTGGTCTTTTATTGAAAAATTCCATATTCTTAGGCGGTGTATTGTTTGTTCTTTAGAATTAGGCAATTGTTCTATAGGCATGGAAGGAAAAAATACTTTAGCATGAACATTAAGACTAGACATTCTACTTAATGAGTTGTATCTTCGATGAAATTGGCATATTTGAAGTTGATTCAGCAGTTGTAACCGATGAGATGTTGCGATTGATGATTAACGACGTGAACAAGACCTTAAGATTAAGTTGAAATCCATCATTTAATCTAATAGAGGCTGAATGAAAACGATTGTAAAACTGTTGTGCGACTGGTATCAAGGGCATTCTATCGAACCTACTAGAAATAAGCGACGGAGGGATACATTGCTGAATAAAGCCTTTCATACTACCAATGATATCGAGTAATACTGCTTGATGTAACTGTATATCAAGTGTAACAGTCTTCAAATCGGCTTTTAATTGATCAACTTTGTCTTCTACTCGTTTATTACTATCTAACAATTTCGACAACTTATTATTGATGTCCTCTAGTGATTTTTCTGGTTGACATGTTGTACGATCTTGTTCGATATTCCATTTTCTAGACTGATGGTTATCGACTGTTTTTAATGTTGGAAAATCTTGTTCATTCAGTTCAAATGAAGGAACTAGTTCTTTTGATCTAAATCGATGAAGTTTACCATTGTGAATCGCTTCTTCAACATTTTCTTTTAATCGACGATTTTTAGTCTTGAATAACTTGACATTGATTATCCAATGAGTGGTGATTTCCATTACATTGACCACATTTCGATTCATTTTTACATACATGTGAGGTATTATCTGTAGCAATCTCAAGACAAACTCGACATTTGGCAGCTGCATTACATTTGTTTCTTAAATGGCAGATACACCAACATTTGGTGCAATATGTTAAACGATTACCAGGAAAAAAAAGGAGTAATCGATAACCATGAATAACCTATTGCGATACGACCGAGTTTTAACGCAGAATTGTATTCTTGATAATCTTTTACATCGAACCGATAATCATTCGATCTTCTTTGATAGGTACACTGGATTCGTTTAATACGGTCCGCAGAGGCAATAGTAAGTTGTATCTCGTTTGCAACAAATTCTTCATGTAATTCCAGAGGAACATATCGGATAACGAGTACAAATGAATCTGGAGTGAATTTCGGTTTTATAACTTCAATATCAATTCCATTTATTTTAGTAGGCCATTTTTTAGTTGCACCGAGAGTAGCATAATCATCTTTGTTATTCACACCTAGTTTTAATTTGTTACCTACCCAACCAACTAACGTAAATCGATTGATTTTAACTCCGTTCGTTTGTAATTCTTTAAGTATTAGATCACTCGCATGTATAGCTGATGGAATGTTATTTCGATTCACATCCGATGACCATTGTATATGAAAGCATGGTAGATTAGATGAGATAGCGTGTTTCAATTGATCGAAAGATACACGTTTATGTTGATCAACATTTTGACTAGAGGCTTGTTGAACATCAAACCACGATGGAATCGACTGCTGTTGACATTATGTCGTAAGTTCTTGTTGTGCAGCCTCAATACATTTTTCTTTACTTTGCTGAAATCTCTTTCATGGGATGTTGACGTCTACTATTTTCATTATTAGTAGATCCTCCACTCTCGTCAAGTGGATGACCATGTTTGGGTGTGAAATTAATTGGTTGATTGAGTTGTTGTTGATTAGAATAATTCTTTTGAAGATACTTGTGCATATTCAATGCTGTTTCGGGACACTCCAATAAAAATTTAGAAATCCATTCCACTTGTTCATTTGGACTGATGTCTTGCTGTCTCTCATGTTATAATATTGTATGACGACCATCAGTTGGGTAATTAATAAATCATTCCGCCATTTCCTCCCTCTTGCCAACGTAGAGAGGATGACGTTAAAAAGAATGTATGCGATAAAGAAACACGTCTGTTCTTCACGATGCAAAAAGAGAAAATGATTTGATGATTGATTAAATAAAGATATACTTGATAAATAAATGACCGGTGCGCATAAGAATGTCTTTAGATCCCTTTTTGATTTTCAAGGTTCAATCTAATAGAGTTAAATATACAATGAAACATTTTGAGTGTCTGATCATTTTGATGTCAAACTCCAAGTATCTTCATTAGATTACAGATTTTAACAGACGCTACCTTTACTGCATATTAAATCAGCAGGTAGCTATTTATATTATGTGGTCAACAATATTAAGATTCCTTTGAAAGAAAACTATTCGAAATCATGAATGATTCAATACTATGCTAATAGATCTTTCTCATATTAGCAATCTCTGCACTACCGTGAAATTGAATAGACGCTAACAAGATCCCTTTATAAAATCTTCATCCTAGAAAATTTGTAATTCCTTGTGGAATTTGAGGTTACTTTACACATTCGAATGGTAGGGTAGCATTGAAAGAATATTTAAAGATGAGCTACAGTTGAAAGTTCCAAATTTTGCAAAAAACTGACCGTGATTTTCAAATAATCGATTATCATCAGAGAAAAAAGCATGATCTCAATAGGTAACGAGAGACTCATAAACAGCGGAATGATTTTATTCTCCTTTGCTGAGTAATAGAAACACATTCCAAAAGTTATATTCGGACTTATGAAAAATTCCTGAGTTCAGTTTTTTTTACATAAACTTTTTTGATCAGCAAAAATTTAAGAAGACTATCAGTTATTCAATCGTCTAATTAAGATTTTCAATATTTTCGATAAACATTGATCGATTTGTATAAACTTGTGTGTCATCGAGACCTATTTTAGATTGAGAGTATCTAGCATCAATAAATAAAGGACTTTATGGTCTACGCTTATAGCATCTAGAAAAGGCTTATGATTAGATAATATTCAGTGTTAGTGTAAACACGGAAATACTGAAGAGTGAGTCATCGACAGAGGATTCTCTCTAGCATTGACTACACTGAGTCAGTGATCAATAACTAAAACTTCACATTCCTATGTATGATGCTGTTGCTCTGAGTGCAAGAAATTGACACTAACATTTGCTAGTATTTATTAGATATACTCTTAAGAGTATTATTTACAATGCAAAATGTAAACTATAACAGATTTGCTTGTATAGCAACTTGTACAGAATTCAATTGTAAAAAAAGATTATGTGAAATTCAGACTGAAGAAAACATTTTGGTTTGTTCTGACATGAGAACTAATACTGTCAGATGTCTACCAGAATAGTCTTTTACAGGTTTTTCGAATCTGAGACTGAACGTCGATCGTTTGAGAATTTTCTGAAGAATCTTATAACGAATTCCTGATTTCAGTATAGATGTTATTTAAAAAATATTTTATCAATTTTTGTTTTTGAACTGTCACAGTTACACAATTGACCACCGATTAGTATTTTCAATTTTTCGTTAACAGGAAAAGTTTATCTGAAAACCAAAGTCAGTAGTTTCCAAGAGAGAATTATTGTGTAAAAAATCAGCTAAAAAATGCCACCTTTTATATATGCTTCTCAGTCTAAAAACGAAAAGAAATAAAAGTTTCATATTCTTTATAGGCTACTTCTTGCAACTGGATGATACTTTTTTACCAGTCACTAAGCACATCTTAGTTGTAATATATAAGTTCTTATTAAAATACAAATATTATTGCTACAACCATAGTTGAAACGAGAACTACACCAAATTCGCAGAGACTATGACCGAGATTGGCGGATAATAAAGTTGCCAGGATAATTAGAAACTTGATTCTACATATCTCTAAATGCAATTTATTAAAATATAAATATTAACTCTAAGCAGCATGTGGACATACGTATATGACTTTTATCATGCGAAAGAATGTTAAAAGCGAATAAAGAACTTTACTTCATCTTTATATGAAAAAAGTGCTATCTAAATTTCTCTGATTATGAATGCCCTTCAAAAAAAAAAAAAAACTTACTTTTTGAAGGGAAAAAACTTCTGCTTATTTTTTTCTCTCTGAAGTGTGGATTTTCTTCAAATCGCAACTTTATTTCACGTTAAAACATTAAGAAATGCCACATATGATTAAACAGAAAATATTTCATCACAAGATTGGGTAATTACAACTAGAAAAAAACATGTTAGACAAGCTGTGAATACTTTAAAATACCAATAACAAATATTTCTATGATAGATATGTGGCGTTCGTGACTATTGGCATTTTAAGGGTTTCTCAACTTGCTTAAAACAAGTCACTTTTTTCAAAAAATAATTGATTTAATGGATATGATTTTCAACGATGCAAATATAGCAGAACTAATATTATGCGCTCAAAAGCTTCTCATAGTTTACTCAATGAAGCAGCAGTGTATATATTGCTACTTCATTAACATTTATGTAGAATGTGTTTTAATATGATAAGTTGACTATAGTTAAATGTTTATAACTTCTTATCCTTCATATCGGTATCAAAATTCAATATACCATTTTGTATAATTACATTTAACCTGTTCTTTTTTGTGAAACACGATCTGAAAGGTATGTTGCAGTAAATTTGCATTTCCTTCCTCCTCACCTCTGACGGAACATGACAGATTGTAGAAGACACGTTAGAAACGACATATTACATAGACTTTAGCAACGATTAGTGTCCTATGAGAATGACTTTTTCTCGATTCCCGTTCCTATAATGCTTTCAGAATTCCTATTACGATTTTATGTTAGTAAAATAAATCAATTATTACTTATATGTCGAAATTGATCAACGTTAAGATAAGAGAGTTACTTTCCTTATCAATTAAACAATGGAAAAGAGACAAAAAAAAATTCTAGCACATCAACAACGTTGATAAGAAAAATGAAAACATTCAAGAGGAGAAGGTAATGATAATAATCCTTTCAAAGCTGATAATCACAAAGAAAATAATAGAGATGTGATAATTGAATTACAATTTAATGTATACTAAAAAAAAAACACTTGTCTAATTTTTGTTGATAGGCATTTATTCGTTTTCTTTTAATGAATAAACAATGAAAAAATCTTTGAAAGAATATCGAAATCCATTTCTCAATAATATAAAATCCGATTGACTTTTACATTTTTTTTGAAAAGAGCAAAGTCTGAAGAGTATAAACATAGAACAAAGTGATTTTCGGGAATGCTCATTTGTAAATATCGTTCCCGTTACCGATTCCCACCGGAAATGAAACGGGAAAAATCATTTCCGCAAGACACTAGCAACGACACATCATACCTGTGATAGACATGCTAACCAACCCGAACAACGTATGTTCTTTCTCACAGTTCGTGACAAACTTCGTTGACATACAATCAAAGACTATATGAATAATGTCTCGTTATAATATATGAACTACTTCCGTATTACATTTCTAGAAGATTAAGTAAAATGATGGTGAAGAAATGTGTTCCTATATAAATATAACAAGACAATCTTCCTGTGATTAGCAAGAGTAGCTAAATCCTGTTTCATATTTTAATCCCACAGGTATTGTACTAACAGGTTTTTAACATAAATCGAATATGCAAAGAAACATTGAATAATTGTTTCTATAGGATAATATTACAAGGGCGCCTCGAGGGACGAGACTTCGACAATGCAAGCTCTTCAAAAGATGAAAAAAAAGGCTGAATTTGAATTGTACAAACAAATAATAATTTTCAAAATATAAGTATTAATCAGTATTTCTATTACACAAGCATATATATTCTGGGTCTATTTTATTTTATTGAAAAAGATGAATTCAAATACAATTTATTTTTCGAGAATAAAACTTTTTTCAAACATCCTCTACTGATGTTATAATAAAATCTACTATGATGCATTAAAAATATTAAATGTCTAATTGAATATTTGTTAAAATGATGTACCACACACACTTATGCGTTAGGAGCAAGTAATCGGCGAATAACTGGATCATTTTTACATCTAAGAGACAAAGAAAAGAAATATATATTTCAATAAAGGAAGCTAATCTAACAATACATACCCAGCAATAAATTCTTGTTTATTTAGTTTTTTATCACCACCAACATCAAGTCTTGTAATAATGTCAGTAGCACGTTTTTTCGGATCATTTTCACCTTTACGATTAACTTCGCCAACAAGATCGTACTGAAAATAAAATGATTGTTTTTTTCTTTTATACATAAAATAAATATATAGCTAAAGTTTTACCATAGCTGTAATCATCTTAGCCAATTCCTTTTGATCGATAAATCCGTCATCTGATATGTCGTACCTATTTACCAAGACAACAATGATATAAATAACACAAAAAAAAACAAAGCTTACATATCAAATGCAACTGCTAGTCGATCATCCAGATTACCGTGGCTTGTAGCCGAAATGGCTAAAAGAAATTCATCAAAGTCAATTGTTCCATCATCATTTGCATCGAATGTATCAAATGCAAGTCTAAATATCAAGAAAACAATTCGACATTAAACCAAAAAAAGAAACACCAGTATTATCATACTTGCAGAAGTTGTCTGCTTTGCCATGAGGATAAAATTGTTTGTAGACTTCAATAAATTTTTTCTTATCAAGTCGACCATTAGGACAATCACGAAGAAAACCCTATAAATAATGAAAATAGATTCATGAACATCATTTCTATTTAACTAACCGCATGCCATTCTCGAATTTCTACAAACAATAATAAATTAAATAAAAAATTAAAATAAAAAATCAATTAATTTGATTTACCTCTTTCCGTATAATTAGTATTTGCTTTGAGCATAGCAATTTCTAGAATTTTCGAAAAGAGAATAATTTATTATTAAATAAATTATTTCCAAAAAATTAAAAGAATACAAACGTTTTGGAGTTAACACTGTTGATCCACCTTTTTTTGCACCTTTATTACCCATGATGATTGTAGTTTATCAACGATTTAGAAGAAATATTGTATGTACGTTTGCTTTATGAGTGTATGCAATTGAAATCAGGTATACTGACAGCTGTGCTAATGGTATTTATACGACTAAGAGAAAGAGAAAAAGCTATGAATTTTTTTCTTTATGTCTATATATAAAAAGAAAAAAAAGGTAAGAACGACAAAAATTAGTAATTCAGATAATAAGCAAACAATATATTTGAGTGAATATGTAAGCTCTGTTGAAATAGTTTTTATAATAGTGAATCAGCAGCTCCGTCGATAGAACTCAAAAAATCTGTCAATATGTAACAAAAGAAATAGGATATGCCATAGAGAAAGCAAAAGAAGAAAAAAGAACAGAACTTATTTTTCTTTTACTACCTTCAGTATGACATGAAATAAAGTAAACCTTCATATTTACTTCGTTCTTTGCAAGTTGTTATTCATACTATGAATAAGCATAAGAGGCCGTGCGAGGGTCTCAATTTTGGGGGAAGGGTTGATAAGAAAATATCTCATAAAGATAGTAAAAAATTAAAAATATCTTAGTAGTTTAAGTGAATAATAATGAATAATTGTCAATTTTGAAGAGGTTATACAACCCTCTCTTATTTTCGTGGCTTCTGATAAGAATATGTTCTATATGCGGTATTTCTTCTTTAATGACATTTTCTTTTTCTTTCGGATACTTAGGCCGAGAAAAAAAAACAATCTGAGAATTGCTTTTTAAAGACTTTGATTTCAAGGTGTGATCTATATTTATAAACGAACACAATACTTTCTATTATATACAATGGCAAATAAATATAAATGCAACCAATCAAAATCTTTTTCTTTGCAAAACAAAGAGTAATGCGTTAAGTAAATGTTAGTGAAAATAGATCGTATTGCAGAAAGAAAAGGTTGTTATAATGCAGTAGACAAGCTAATCATTAATATTGTTCTATATATTATATTCTAATTAATAACCAAAAAAAAAAAGAATCAGCAAAATAGTTGAAGTTTTTATCAGTAGTAAAACAGTGCAATCTTGATTAAGTTTTGTTTATCGCTAGCGTTTAATTGTTCTAATCGATCTCATAAGGCATTCTTTCAATCTTGCTGATCGCAAGAAATCTTTAGTTTTCAGAACCTAATAATAAAATCGTTCTCATATTGATAATAGCTGTTCAACATGACATAGAAGTGAAATTATTCGGAACAATAGAAAAATGTACTTGTTATATTGCAGGTAAAATGGGACATACTCACTTTTCATTCTTTACAAAAGTTATTTTTCTGAATAAGCACTTTAAGAATAAATATATGTAAAAATGTTGACTCTTTTAGTTGGCTATTAATTATAAAAGTAATTAACGAATATCTATCTAACCATACGAGCAAAAACTCCTAAAACTTCAGAATAGATTATAGTACGAATCACATATATGTTGAAATTATCAGCAAGATCTGATTTCAAAATGTCTCTGTTGAAAAACTTGTTTTCTAGAGGTCCTACCAGGTCCCATAATGAAAATTGTTGTTTTAACATTATCTAAAGATTCGAAAGAAGAATTTTTACCGCTTGGAAGCGATTTTAAACTTCTCAATCAAATGAAAGCATATTCTTTCGTTTGTTTATTCGTACTTCGTCACGTTGCTAACGAAAAATACATCGATTTATTTACAAAATCAAAGCATATCCAGAGAACACCTTTGATGTAGATTTTGTAGCTTCAGGCATTGTCTACAGAATGTACTATTTCGTTTTGTCTCAATTCAGAAATTTTTAAACTAAAATCCATGAAGCTAGAGTCGATGTCCTTCTTTGTGGGTATGAGTGTCGCTAGTGCTTTTACTAATAATTTCCCTGAACAAAAGCCTCTTACTCTGATATTTTCAGAATATCTCGAGTAACTTAACATATATGTAAACTATACATGTTACCTGCAGGAAAGCTAATTATCTCGACACACACGTGATTCTATTTTGCGAAATGACATCATTATCGATTAGTTTTGCTCATATGTTACAGTCTTATCAAGTCTATTGCTATCTCCTCCTATTTACACTCGATAGTTCCAATAACAAACAGCGAAAGTTCTTTTTTTTAACATCGTTTGCCAATATTAGACTTTTCTAAATAATGAAAATCGATTTGAATAACAACAGAACAGCTTCATTTATTATTTTCGACTCAAATTCATACGAATTTCACCTTAATACGTCGGTGAATTAACTTAAGAAACCATACAAATATCGAATTTCGGTACATAAAAAAAAGAATTACGAGATATTAAATATCTCTGTAAGCATTCACGATCATGACAAATTCTGTGAATCATTCGTTGACTTTTATTAATAAAAACATTTTTACATCATCACCACAATTACAATTCATAGATCAATTAATAACAGAAAAACTTCTTCTATACTGAGATAGTGTAATTGAATGCATCCTATTAGCTGCTTTCAATACAATGTTTTCATTTTACAAATCATACGTATTAAGATTCTATCAAGTTATAAAATCAAAAAGCAAATTTTTTGTTCTATTGTAATTGCTTGTTTAAGCATCAGAAGCAAGAATTTGACGAATATACGGATCCTTCTTACATCTAATGAATGAGAATACATTACAAATAAAACTACAAAATACAGTACAAAATATACCCGGTAATAAATTCTTGTTTACTCAATTTTTTGTCTCCACTAACATCAAAGGAAGCAATGATTTCAGCAGCACGTGTTTTCACATTATTATTATTATCATCCTCAACGCCATTAAGGTCATACTAAAAAGTTAAAACTATTTCTACTTAAACAAAAATATCACGAAAAAAACAACTTACTATAGCTGTAATCATTTTAGTTAATTCCTGCTGATCGACTTGTTGATCATCCGAAATATCATATCTATATAAAATGAAAATCTCTTGAATAAAAATAAAACAAAAAAAGTAAAACTTACAAATCAAACGCAGCTGAAAGTCGTTCATCCAGATTACCTCCTTTTGTAGCTGCAACACTCAAAAGAAACTCATTAAAATCAATTGTGCCATCATTATTGGTATCAAATGTATCAAATGCATATCTAAACATATAAAGATTACATAAATAATTAAGAATTGAATAATCTCTTACTTGCAATAAGCTTTTGAATTTCCTCTAGGAAAAAATACTTCATAAACTTCAAGAAATTTTTTCTTATCAAGTCGACCATTTGGACAATCACGTATAAAACCCTATAAAGAAAAGAAAATTGAAAACTTCAAGAAAAAGTATTACGGATTCAACTTTCTTCGTGCCATTGTGAAATTTCTAAATAAGATTAAAACAAAATATGAATCCGGATAATATTTCAAATTATTACAATTTTCACTTACCACTTTCACTTAAATTAGTATTCGCTTTGAGTACTGCCGTTTCTAAACCAAAAACAAATAAAAGATAGAAAAACATGATAATCTAATAAACGAACGTTTTGGAGTTAATTCTGTTGAATTAACTTTTGACTTTTTGTTGCCCATGCTAGCTGATGTTTGTATTACCGTTACAAAGGAAAACGTAGAAAGGAAATGTTATATACTGTTCGAGGTCTGCTTTTATAATGGGTCTCATGGTAATAAATACTAATAATTATTTATTGATAAATGTACGGTGATAAGAGTATATGAAAAAACCAGGTATGTGAAAATATGTCTTTTATTTTTTGTAAAGAGAAGGACACAGAGTAATCGAAAATGTAACATTAAAGTTTTATCACCCTGAAAAAAGTAACTTTTCGTCAGAATGATCAAAATTAACATATATATCGAGAAAGATAGCCCGTGATATGATCTCTCATAAATGACAAAACTTTTAACTCGGTACTTCGTTTTTTTCAAAAATTTTTCATGATTTCTGTGATCTCCTGTTCGAAAAATAATCTGTTTTTGAAACAAACCGAAATGCTTTTTGTTTTCTCTCGCTTTATAAGTTTTCGATCACGCATTCCAAAATTTTCGAAGGAGCTTTATTGTGGCAAATAGGCTCTTTTTATGTTTGAAAGAGTATGTCAAGACCCAGTGGACTACAGAGTCCTTTTTAATTAATATCCAAATACTTATATAAAAAGACACTCATTCTTTGAGAGTTTTTTAAGTCATTGAACTTCTCATGCCTCTTCTTCGCTTTAAAAAGAAGAATTAAAAAAAAGACTATATATCGCACTCAATCCTGATATATTCTTCTAAACAAATAAAATTACACGTCTAGAATAAGTCTTAATAGAAAAATTTGATTTGCAGAATGGATAATTTTTCATGCTTGTTTGTTATAAATATCTCTCGAAAGCGTCATGGAATCGGGCTGAAATTTTTGCCATAGCCTCTCCACACCAGCCTCAACGTATTCTGAAAATTCCATGCAATTTGAATATTCCTAGTCCAAAATCAATTATTCAGGGAGAGGAGGCCCTTAATAATATACATAGATTTACTAATTGTAGTGTTGATGAAAACATTTTGGTTTCCATCTGATGTGTTGGAAATTATTTGAAATATGAGATATTTGTTAACGGTCAAATATTTCGAACCAAAATTAAAAAGATAGATGTTAAAGAGAAGAAAAAAATCATATTTGTTTTTGATTGCTTCAAACCTAAAAATAACATGAATTACACGATAGATAGAAAAAAGGACAAATATCTTTCTTTATTTTTTTCTCGTTTCGCCTTTACTTTTTGATGAACACCAAAAGAGAATCGTGGATTTTGTATATATTTATTTTTGCTATCCTCATTCAAATCATAATCAAGTTTTTGATAAATATCACAGAGAAATATTTAATAATATATATATTTTGCACTTTTCGTTCCATACATTTATTTCATTATGGGTCATGCTCGATGCACAGCATACTGTAGTATATTTTTGTACTGTAAAAATATCATATCTGTATGATCAAATAAATATTTTTAGAAATGAAAGGTTGTGGATGTCATTAGAGTTTTAGTAATAACTCCTTCTCACAAAGATATCTTGCGTAACGTAACCTGTATGCAACATAAAAATTAGCTCTAGCAAAGATCATTATCTCGAGATACAGGTATTTTGATTTTGCGAAGTTGCGTTGTTAAAGAATGATTTTGCCCATATGTTGAAATCTTATGAAGTCCATTCTTTCTTCCTCTATCAATACTTTATAGTTCTAATGATAAACTGCAAAATTTTTTATTAATATGATTGATCATAAGTAGGTTTTTCCACATGATGAAAATTAATTTCAATAATAACAGAACAGCTTCAATTGTTATTGCCTACTCAAATCGACACGTATTCCACTTTGATGCTTCTCTGAATTAACTTACAAAACCGTACAAATATCAAATTTCGATGCTTGAAAAAGTGAATTACGGGATATTAAATATCTCTCTAAGTATTCCCGACGATGCCAAATTCTGTGAATCATTTATTGACTTTTATTAGTAAAGATATTTTATGATGATCACCAGAATTATGATTCATAGATCGATCAATAACAAAAAAAAATGCTTGGTTACTGAAATAGTTTATTTAAATGTATTCTATTCACTGGTTTTCATTAAAATGCTTTTATCTTACAACTCATACACATTAATAGTATATCTACTTACAAAATGCAAAGAAAAATAGCGTTCTATGATAATTGCTCGTTTACGTCTCAGGAGCAAGTATTTGACAAATATACTGATCGTTCTTGCATCTAATCAAAGACAAACACATTAAAAATTAAAATATAAAATATATTATAAAACATACCCAGCAATAAATTCTTGTTTACTCAATTTTTTGTCTCCACTAACATCAAGTGAAGCAATAATTTCAGCAGCACGTGCTTTCGGACTATTAGTACCACCTTGATCAGCAACACCATTAAGTTCATACTAAAAAGTTAAAATTATTTCTATTGAAACAAAAATATTATGAAAATATGTTACTATAGCTATAATCATTTTAGTTAATTCCTTTTGATCGACTTGTTGATCATCCGAAATATCATATCTAAATTAAATGAAAATCTCTTGAATAAAAATAAAACAAAAGAAGAAAAACTTACAAATCAAATGCCATTGAAAGTCGTTCATCGACATCACCACCTTTTGTAGCAGCAACACTCAAAAGAAACTCATTAAAATCAATTGTGCCATCATTATTAGTATCAAATGTATCAAATGCATATCTAAACATATAAAGATTATATAATTAAATAAAGAATTAAATAATCTCTTACTTGCAATAGTTTTTAGGATTACCTCCAGGAAACAATACTTCATAGGTTTCGAGAAATTTTTTCTTATCAAGTCTACCATTTGGATAATCATGAATAAAGTTCTATAAAGAAAAAATCTCTCAAGTTGTCAAGGAGAAATATTACGGATTCAACTTTCTTCATGCCATTGATAAATTTCTAAATAAGATTAAAAATAAAACATCAATCAAGAAATATTATTATTACAGTTTTGAATTACCCTGTTCAGTGAATTTAGTATTGGCTTTGAGTACTGCTAATTCTAAACAAAAAAAAAAAGTAAAAGATAAGAAAACATAATAATCTAATAAACAAACGTTTTGGAGTCAATTTTGTTGAATCAACTTTTGACTTGTTGTTGCCCATGCTAGCTGATGTTTATATTGTCGGTGGCAACGAGAATTTCAAGAAGGGAATGTTATATACTGTTCCAAATTTGCTTTTATAGTGGGCCTCATGGTAATAAATATTAATAATCATTTATTGATAAATGTATGGTAATAAAGCATATAAAAAACCAGGCATGAGAAAATAGGTTTTTTATGTTTGTAATGAGAAGGAGAGTGCGTAATTGAAGATGCAACATAAAGATCCACTCACCCCTAAAAAAAAGTAACTTTTCGTCAGATTGATCGAAAGTAAAATAAATGCAGAAAACGATAGTCCGTGATCTAATCTCTCATAAGCGACAAGCTTTGTAAGTCGATGCCTCGTTTTTCCAAAACTTTTGAAGATTTTCGTCATCTCCTATTCGAAAAAAACAGCTGTTTTCGGAAAAAATCGAAAATCTTTTTCGTTTTTTTCCCTTTATAAGTTTTCCATCTCGCATTTCAGAATTCTCAAAGTAGCTCTATTATAGCCAATGGCCGTTTTTGTGTTTCAAAACGTATGTCAAGACGAAACGCAGTACAGAGTCCTTTTTGTAATTAATTACTCTTCCCTTTTATTATATACCCCAGTACTTGTATAAAAAGACGCACATTCTTCGAGAGCCTTTTGTAGTCATTGAACTTCTTATACCTCTCCTTCGCTGAAAAAGGAAGAATTTGAAAAAAGGCTCTATAATGTATCCAATCCTGACATACTCTTTCAAACGAAAAACAAAATTACGCATGTAGAATGAGCCTGAACAGAGCAATTTGCTTTGGCGAATTAGCTATTTTTCACCCTTGTTTGCTAAATATCCCCCGAAAGCGTCATGAAATAGGGCTGAAATTTTTCTCATAGCCGCTTCACGCCAGCTCCAACATATCTTGAAAATCTTGTGCAATTTAACTGTTCCTGGCCTGAAATCAATTGTTGAGGAAGAGGAGAACCTTAATAATATACATAGATTTACTAGTCGTGCCTTTGACTGAAGCATTCTATTTTACATCTTATGTGTTAGAAATGCCTTAAAATACAAGACATTTGTTAACGTTCAAATATTTCAAGCTAAACTAAGGAAATTAGGTGTGAAAGAGAAGAAAAATAATATTTGTTTTGATTGCTTCAAACTTAAAAATAACATAAATTATACGAGAGAAAAAAAGACAAATATCTTCCTTTACCTTTACTTTTAGATGAATACCAAGAGAAAAACCTGAGTATTTTTATATATTTATTTTTGTTATTTTCATTCGAATGATAATCAAGTTTTTCGATAAGCATAACGAAGAAATATTCAATTATATATTTTGCCCTTTACGATTCAAATATATATATTTCATTATGGGTCACACTCGATGCACAGCACTCTGTAGTATATTTTGTGTACTGTAAAAATATCGTCCTTGTACAATAACATTAATCTTTTTAGAAGTGAAATAGTGTGAGTGTCGTTAGGTTATAAGTAATAACTCCTCTGCACAAAGATATCCAGCGCTGATTATTCAGAGTATCTAGAGTAACTTAACGTGTATGCAACATACTTCCCTGAATTAAGTTAAGAAAGAATACAAATATCAAACTTCAGTACATGAAAATATCAATTACGAAATATTAAATATATCTGTAAGTATTTACGATTATGACAATTTCTGTGAATCATTCGTTGACTTTTATTAGTAAAAAAGTTTTCTATCATCATCATAATTAGGATTCATAGATCGATCAATAACAAAAAAAATGCTTGGTTACTGAAATAGTTTATTTAAATGTATTCTATTCACTGGTTTTCCACTGAAGCGTTTTCATGTTACAATTCATACGCATTAATAGTCTATCTACTGGTAGAATAAAAAAAAAATTATTGTTCTATTGTAATTGATTGTTTAAGCATCAGGAGCAAGTATTTGACGGATATACGGATCGTTCTTGCATCTAGTTAAAGACAACATATTAAAAATAAACGTATAAAATATATTATAAAACATACCCAGCAATAAATTCTTGTTTACTCAATTTTCTGTCTCCACTAACATCAAGTGAAGCAATAATTTCAGCAGCGCGTGTTTTCGGACTATTCTTACCACCTTGATCAGCTACGCCATTAAGTTCATACTAAAAAGTTAAAGCGCTTTCTACTTGAAACAAAAATGTGATGAAAAACAGTTTACCATAGCTGTAATCATTTTAGTTAATTCCTTTTGATCGACTTGTTGATCATCCGAAATATCATATCTAAATTAAATGAAAATCTCTTGAATAAAAATAAAACAAAAGAAGAAAAACTTACAAATCAAATGCCATTGAAAGTCGTTCATCGACATCACCACCTTTTGTAGCTGCAACACTCAAAAGAAATTCACTAAAATCAATTGTGCCATCATTATTGGTATCAAATGTATCGAATGCATATCTAAACATATACAGATTATATAAATCAATAAAGAATTAAATAATCTCTTACTTGCAATAGTTTTTAGGATTTCCTCCAGGCAAAAATACTTCATAAACTTCAAGAAATTTTTTCTTATCAAGTCTACCATTGGGACAATCACGTATAAAACCCTATAAAAAAAACTTTCAAACATTCAAGAAAAAGTATTGTGGATTTAACTTTCTTCATGCCATTGATAAATTTCTAAATAAGATTAAAACCATAAAATTAATCAAAAGTATTATGATTATAACGATTTTCACTTACCACTTTCGCTCATATTAGTATTCGCTTTGAGTACTGCCAATTCTAAACAGAAACAAGCAAAAGATAAGAAAACATAATAATCTAATAAACGAACGTTTTGGAGTCAATTCTGTTGAATTAACTTTTGACTTTTTGTTGCCCATGCTAGCTGATGTTTATATTCGACGGTAAAAATGAAAATTTGAAAACAGAATGTTGTATACTGTTCCAAGTCTGCTTTTATAGTGGGTCTCATGGTAATAAATATTAATAGCCATTTATTGATAAATGTATGGTGATAAAGCATATAAAAAAACCAGGCATGAGAAATTATATTTTTTATGTTTGTAACAAGAAGGACACAGAGTAATTAAAAATGTAATGTTGATCATATAGATAAATTTACTAATCGCAGCGTTGATTAAAGCATTCTGGTTTGCATTTTACATGTTAGAAATGATTCGAAATATAACATAGTTGTTAACATCGAATTATTTCAACCCTAAAATACAAAAATTAGATGTTAAAGAGAAGAAAAAACATCATATTGACTTTGATTGCTTCAAGCCTAAAAATAACATAAATTATATGACATAAAAAAAGACAAATATCTTTCTTTATTTTTTTTATTACGTTCATTCGAATGGTAATCAAGTTTCTGATGAATATCACAGAAAAGTATTTAATAATATACAGTTAACGTCAAAAGTCTAGTGTCATTTTTTCGTTTTAAGTCGTGTACTACAACTACACAATTTTAAATTAACTGCATTATATGACTGTTTAGTGGAGGTCGAGTACTATATATTTATACATGTTTCATACGCAAAACTGTTGAAAATAAACTGCAATAAAAAAAACGAACTTTAGTGCTAAAAAAGATAACATAAAAACCTAGAAAATTACATTGTTGTTATACGGTACTTTCTGTGCAACCTACGACAAAGAACACAAAGTATTCAGGAAAAATTCACATTTTATCAGAATTTGTAGAACTTTTTTCGGTGATCATTTTGGTAAAAAAATAGAGCGCTTTGGATTCCAATGAGGTATGATGGTATTATAGTCAAAATAATAAATATTATGAAATTGCTTAAAATTCGATTTTTTTTTGTTATAAAAAACCACAAAATAAGCATAGAGCGCCGGTTTGCATATCTCAAAGTGGCTATTCTCCTAAGAAATGTGACATCGTGCTTTACAGAAATAAATTCACCCTAAAATACCTTATAGTTGGTTTCTGAGCTACGATCGGATACTATGAACAAATCTCTTTAAAACATTGTATCGGGTGTCCCAGGAATAATGAGCCTCCCAGTATTTTTAAGATTTCCTGTCTATTATCACTGTAAGTAAAGCTGTCTTAATTATCAAAAGAAAGCGCTTAAAATTCTCTACAAAACCATNGTCGATGGTGGAGAAAAATAACTTCAAATTAGAAAACAAAAAAAAAAGATTATTATCGAGTATATAGCAATAATTATAAATGAAATCTAGCGCGCTTAAATGAAAAAACAATATTTTCTTTTTTAATATATTTTTTTAATATACAAATAAATAATAAATTCCCGCTCTTTTCATCGATTCTCAAGGAAAACAACTATAGTTGACGAGAAGTCTTTCAGTATGCAGATGATGCGTCAGGTAACAAAGCTAAAGGTATACGTGAGTTCCACATTTCAGCTCCGCAGGAGCTGGGCTAACAAGCTTTTTTCGTTTTATTCTCATGTACTTACTCACTCTTATCCAGGAACAATTCGTCTGTAAAATGATTAATTTTTATTACTTATTATATTTCATTGTAATTTGCTTTGTTTTCACATATAGCCCTTCTAAGGATCTGGCTTTGCAAAATGGTTGAGACACTCATACTTAATTATACAGCATTTCAAACAATCTACTTTTTTGTTAAACGTTCTTTGACACTCATCTTGTGCTACGGCACAAATCTTCTTGGTTACAGTTTCTTCAAAAGATTTTCAATCATGATAATCATTTAGTTTAAGTTTCGAACAACCAAATAACCAATAATCGAATAGTATCAAATTAGGAAAATAAGATTGATAATGAATTGGTATCCTTTATTGTTCTTAAATAAATCTCTTAATCATTTTTGTTGGCAGATTTGATTATGCTCAGATTTTTTGAGTACAAATAGAACTCAGTAAATCTTGATTGCAAGGACCAATCAGGACTTAATTGGTCTTCATGCAGAGAAGCTAACTAATTAAAATAGACTATCTTCTGACAAGAACATTTCAGCATAGGAATCAGATCTCACGGAATTTGAACCCTCATTTGAAAGCTCAGTGCGAACATTATATGTACAGATTATGATTAAATTACGTCATTGCAACAAAGTATACGTGCAAAAAATTGTCTTAACACTTATCTTTTCATCTTTCCAAAATTAAAACAGGCTATACTAGTCTATTAATAATGTACACATATTGAGAGAAATTGGCTTTGATCAAAATAATTATAAAATTCTCATAATGCCTTCATAAAACAGGGTAAAACTAATCAATAATTAGAAATATTTCTACTATCTTATATATGTACTACATAGTAGCTTCTTATTATTTTACTACTTTCTTTTTGAAGCTATTATTTATTACTTGCAATTAGTAATAAAATGATGCTTATTACTTATTACTAACTAGCTATTACCATACTACCTACTGCTTTTATCATTTGATAAAACTATTATTAATTACTAATTATTGGCAATGGTAATGTTACACCTTTCTACTTATTACTCAAAAGAAACTAGATAACTGATCGAACTGTACACAAGGGGAAAGGAGCACGATTTCATCTATTTCCGAAGTTTTTTTTTTAGTACGATGAAAGTACACTAGAAGTACCAAGAAGTATAGGGGAAGAACAACCAATGAATAGGTGAAGTATTGAGAACCGTATGGGAGTTTGCGTTAGTTATGCCATCACTAATTTTTTCACTAAAAATAACATTTTTTTTAGAAAATAATAATTCTTTTTTTATAAGGCTTAACCGTAGGTAATCGGAGTCGTGGAATCAGAATCTGCAATCAGATTCTAAAATATTTTCTAGTTAATTTCCTGATCAAATGAACTAACTCTACCCACTGAGGTCAAATTTTACAAGAAACCGTTATTTTCTCAAACAACCTTCTGTTTAGTCTAAAAATTAACTTCAAAACTTTTGACAAACTGATTTCAGATTCGAATGCATTGAGCTCGATTACCTTTGGTTAAGCTTTATTTAAAAAAATCGGTTTTTCTTTCAAAAGATCTTTTTTATTGGAAAAATTAATGATGATATACCTTAATCAAATCGAAACCCACACTGAAACTCCCAAACGGTTTAGATTTGGTACACGTCTAAGTACAGAAGAAGTACAGCTGAAGTATGCACACCATAAGTCTCGTTTTTTCCTTCTTCTTCATAATATATTCAGTAACAGTCTGGAGAAGATAATTTTCCGTAGAAGTGCCACTTTGTGTTCGACTCACACGAATGGGGAACGCAATCCAGTTCTGTACTGATGAATGTGAATGAGAACGCGACATGGATTTCCTTAACTTTTGACGAAAGGCAATTTCCTATAAATAGCGATATTTTCTGAAGTTTCACCAAAGATGGTCACAGTTAAGGAATCCGAACTTGCAATTCGTTTTTCAAAATTTTCAGTTTGACTTTCTCTGTACAGGGAATACTATTCTCTAGAAATAACAATTTCCTTCTATAAAGTTTGACCCAAGGAAGTCGCGGTCGAGGAATCTGAATCTATCATTGGTTTCTCAAAGTTTTCAGATTGTATATTCCACTGAAATTTTTTTAGAAGGAAATGATCTATTTTTTCAAAAAATTATTTTTCTTTAAAATCCACTTTTTTTTACTAAAAATTAAAGTTGAAATTTTGAGAAATCAATTGTAGAATCGGATTCTGTTAGCGTCAGTGATGGATTACACTAACGCTAAACGATGATTAAGATGCGCCTTCTAGTCTAATTGGCTTAGGACAACTGCCCGGATAGCAGGAGGTGTGGGTTCGACTCCCACGAAGGTCATCTTTTTCATCTTTCTGTCACATAACATCAGTGGCACTGCTTGCCTCTTTCGTTCTATACATATTGGAGCTAACAGATTCCTTGATCTGAATTACCTTTGATCAAACTTTATAAAAAATTCATTATTTTTAGAAAATAATGAAATTCCAAGGAGTACAGCGAATTAAAATGTAAATGCAAGAAAGTATTATGGAAGTATCATGGAAGTACAAGGAAGTACCATGGAAGGATCATAAATGCAGGAGAAAGTGTTACGGAAGTACGATAGAAGTATGCACTCCTGAAGTATCGTTCCTTCTCCTTTGATTTTACATGGCTTCACTTTCCCAAAATTTCATTTTCGAAAATTTTAATTCACAGTGACTTGAAACATATTTTTAGTAATCATAACTGTATTAATCATCATTTAAATAACTTACTGTCGTAATTTGAAGTTGATTATGTGGGTTATGTTATTCAAGAAATATAAAGACAAAAGATTGTCATTATGTGTATATATATGTAAAGCCTAGTATTCTCTGGGAAAAAACCAGTTTACGCATTTTTAGGTATGTTGGAAACTTCCCACTGAAGAACTTGTGTTGGTATTTTTCTTACTCAGTCGTCGAACCTGCTGTTTTGACAGAACGATAAAAATATGTCATTAAGTCAAGTCGTAATACGCTGTTGTTGTGATTCGAAAAAAAAAAGAAAAATAAGCCAAAATTCATGATAAACATGCTCAAAATTGTACTCGAATGTCCCCAACACAAACATAGTTTAAGAACACAATTACCATCGTCCGACGATAGGCAAGTCAAGTAAAAAAATGGACATATTTTTGCAATTGATGCGTCTAACTCTTTTCTACACTAAAACTACCTATGAGCGCAGAAACAAGGAAAAAAAATTCTTTCAGTACTTCAGATAAGCGACGGCCAGATGAGAGTATATAGTCATTTTTGGACTTGACTTGACTGGACTTGAATAGTTTTTTGGCGATTAATGACTTGACTTGACTTGGGTTTTCGTTTCAATGACTTGATTTGACTTGAACCTTAAAAATCTCTGACTTGCCCATCTCTGCATCGTCGAACCGTTAATCAATATCGAAACATACATAATGACTACTGTTAATCGAAAATGATTGACCAATTTGATATATGAAAAAGGTGAATACGAAATTTCTTCTGACATCCTTGTCTAATATAATTTACATATTGACACAGTTATGATATTCTACTATTATATATTTTTATAAAACTAATGATATCAAGAAGGAAACAGTGAATTTCAAGACTCCAAAAGATGTCAAGAGACTTCAAACACAAAGACACCAAATTTTTCAAAGACTTTTAAGGGCTTCATTGAGACCTCAAAGACAAACTTCTATTGATTTCTCCCTCGGATGATATCAAATTTGGTTTTATTTTTTTGCTTTTTATCAACAAAACAGCTGGCTTCAACACGTTCAAATACTATGTTAAGTAATTGAACAGTTTTTTTAAAGATTGAATAATTCACACCGAAATATATTGGTTTCATTTATTTGTTTATAGAAAGTGCAAATAAAAACATTGGATGAATACTTCAACATAAAATATTACTCATTTTTTGTCTTTCTATTAGATTAATACTCAACGTAACATGACTGATAAGATTATTTTTTTTTATAAGTGATCAACAACCAATACTAAGCTACGGTACTCAGTGTATTTTATAGAGCCATTTATCTATTGAACATTGTATAATCTCTTATATCTATCCAGAGAAACTCGTTCTATGATTTAAGATTTATATTTAAATGATTATTGGGAAAGAAATTTGTTTTTAAATATATACAATGCACAGAGAGTTTGTACCCTTAAAATATTTTGCTAAGAAGAAGACATAGAAACCGTAGGTTGTGCTTCAAGATATATAATAATTCATTTATATTCCATTATGTTAAATGATTATGCGATTTACCGAATCATAGTTAATATAGCTTTATGAAATACTCAATATCTATAAAGAAAAGTATGGATCATAGAACACACAATTGAGGTATCTTAAAGTATGTATCCGTACTTATTGTCTCCGCTGATTTGTCAAAGTTTTTGTCTATTCAGAACAATCTTATTTTTTCCCCATCGTTTTAAATGTATATTGCACAAGTTTTACTAAGTATTTCAAAACGGAAAATTTAACGACATGCAATCGAAAGAACAACATTCGATATTTTACGAGCGAAGAAAGCAGCTGCAGAGAATAGAATGTGAGTTATCATTACTCAAGTAAGAACAAAAATAGTTGTATGTATCAATATTTACTCAATTATGTCATTCTTGCAACACAATTTTTGTTGATTATCACAAAGGCAGAACGAAAGAAAATATTATTTTTCATCTTCTTTCACTGAATATAAATAAAACATCAAAAGATTTTAGAAGATCGAGTAAAAAACTGAATATTACGAACGATTCGAAACGACTGTTCCAACAAGTAGTAGCTCATTGACAAAAAAAATATTTAAGTGACATACAATTTATCTGGATCAGCTGCATGCAAATTGTATATTTACAGTTTAAAGTGAAAAGAATGGAAAAAAACAGATACATTTGATTAAGGATCAGAATCTTTTTGATCACAACAAAAAGATACTTTTGATCACCAAATTTTACAACACGTGGTGTTGCATCATCTTTCCCTTATTTATTCAGCATCACTTTCATTTCATCAGCTTTTGTATTCTTTGTTATTTAAAATGGTGATTTTTATTGCCGAATAAGTGGCTGGTGCATATATTTGTACAAAATTTAATAGAGTTCATTTTGAAAAATGTCAACCTTAAACTAGTCTCTATCAAGTAAAGTTCATTCAAATATGAAACTTTTATTTTGACAGCAGTGAAATTTTTTTCTAATTCACAACGTCAGCCAAGTAAGACTAGGGTGTGGACGTGGATCTTGGGTGTGGATCTTTCGTTTAAGCGTACCCTCACCAACGCCTACACCCACACCCACCCCACACCCTGAAAGGTAGGTATGTTCCTTTTTGCCTGAAATAGCCCTTATGTTTTTAACACTAATTGTTTAATGGCATTTAAAAATTTTTGTTATTATAACGTGCTCATTTTATAGATACTTTTATTTATCTTCTTTTCTTTTTGGTTAACTTGTATCATAATTTGATTTATTTTATTAATATCAAAATATAAAGAAACAGATTATTTGGATTGTATTATGGACACATGCAAAATACGGAATAAATATATTAATTGCGAGAAAAAAAAAACAAAGTAAGAGTAAAAGTTAATGTTAATAACGAGATTCATGATGAAATGAGCAAAAAATTGAGGTAATAAGAGAAAGACATTGTTATCAAAGATAAATAAAAAAATAAATAACACAAAAGCTTCTTCAACTAATCATTGGTACGTCAATATTCGATGTAAATAATGTATGTTCGTCAGCCTCATCTTCCGATTCACCTCGCATAGCATGAGTATTGCGAATGCTTTGATGTCCATTACTTTGATGCATCAATGGTAAATTATCGTCACCTTGAGTTAAAAGTTCATATTGTTGAGAATCAGTAAATCGACGCAACGATGAAAATGAACGACGTCGTACATAGAAAGCAACTATACCAAATATCACAGAGAGAGTTAAAACTAAATA